AAATTTTATTATGTACATTTATAACCATCAAACGAGAAGATAATAAAGTTTATTGTTGACGAAGACGAGGCCCGAAGCTCGGGCTCATGGAGATATCGGCAGTATATGTTGCGTGTATAGGCAGTATATTTTCAGTATATGGTGAGTGTCGGCAGTATATGTTGCGTGTATTTGTATCATGTACTCTACATATACTAAAATAGTTTATTTATATAATTATTATGATGTATTTATGATATGTATATGACATGTTATATAGTGAAACAAAAATTCAAACATCACAATTTTGGTTAGATAAAAATATTTGTAAATAAAAAACGTATTAAGTTATATACTGAATATATACTGACTATAAACGCTAAATATACTGTCATTCAAAACGTCGTCCTTACAAAAAACCTGAGAACTAAAAATCCCATAATCTGCGGCATTTAATGAGAAGGCAGTTGCGTTTTTATTTGGTAACTGAAAATTTCATGATCTAGTGCATCTTTGCAATTAATTGACATGAAATTTGTAAAGATACAAATAAAATTTGCTCCATCATAAAATTCAATTTCTTTTCCAAATCACATAGTATACATGAAAATTTGCCAAATAAATAATAAATAAATCGTTTTGTTGCCCAATCCACTCTAAAATATATATTCACCAAGTTGGGCCTGTAAGCCAGAGAATTAGTTGTGTACAGGCAGACATCTCAATAAAGTCCATACAGTCACGTAGAGATATTAAACAGGCTAGTTTTCGGGCTAGCCTTAACGGGTTTCTAGTCCGGGCTTAAGAAGCCTGAATTTAAACACTACTAATAAAGGGGCATAACCCTAACCCTAACCTTAACCCTGGCGGACTTCGGGCTAAACGGGCTATACGAACAATAATAATTATAATATATCAAAAAAAAAAAATATATATATATATATATATTATATTATAAATTACAACTGTTAGTTAACGATTACTTTCAACGGCTATTTAGTATTACCACTTTGTATATACAACTACACTTCATGTATGAATACACATTGCAAACTGTTAAATAGCATATTTTTTATCAAAAGAAAGAAAAAAATGTTCGAACTATTACTTATAATTAAAAAACGTTCGAACTATTACTTATAATTACCATTTTACTACTTATTTTGTACTTTTGAGAATTTTCACGATATTGCATCATATTGTTGAATTTATATTAAATCACTTCTTTATCTATTGTGCTTTCTATTAGCCGTTATGATTGACTTAAATATTTTGTTGTGAATTAGAATAACAAAATTGTTAACAATATCTTTCAAAATCATATATAATTAATCGTTACAAGTTATACATACATGTGGAGTAAAAAAAAAAAAAATAATATATAAGGAATTTTGAGGTATATTATTTACGTGCTGCAAACATTTACATTGCCCAATAAGTTAAACGGGCTAACCCTAACAGTTTCGGGCTAAATAAGCCGAGCCTAAAAAGTCATGATTTAAACGAGCAAATAATAAAGAACTCTATTTTTTTTTTCGGGCTAAACGGGCCGGCCCATTAACATCTCTACACCTAGGGCCCGGGTGAAAATTATCGCATTAAATTTATATCATAATTATTCGCGGAAAATGAAGTTTACGAAAATCTAATTAGAGGGCAATTTTCCCGCACTGTGAGCAAAAAGCGACTGGCATAGGGCGGTCTCACGCCACAGCCGCCGGCGGCCGGAAAGAGAGTAATCGCCATCGGACTGAAGTTAATTGACCTCATCAAACCATGGACGATCCATCAGATTCCGCACCTTGTTCATCTCTAGCCGTCGATTACGTCTTACGCACGAGCTACGTAAGCACCCTAATTCCATCTCTTTCATTTGCTGCCGCCTGTTTGCTTAGTTTTACAGATTGCGTGGTTTCATCGCTTTTAGTTGATGATCTCACTATTACTGCTGAATTTTTTTGAAGAGAGATTTTTTAATGCAGGCTGGAGCTATTTGGGGGTTTTGCCATGGCCCATTTGATGCTAAAAGTCTCGGTAATTTCACTTGCACACAGTCACACATTTTAAAATTTAATGTAAATGCAACTGAGATTGATGTAAGAGACAAAAATATGTGTGTGAATTCACAAACATGTTAGGTAATTCTCTTAGTTCAGTGGCTTTTCTGTTTTTTCCAGTGTGCACAGGAGAAAAGGTTGCTGGAGTTTAGTTTTTGTGTGTGTATACTAAGTACTGTGTGAAGAGAAACTGTATTACAATTCTTGCGGAACCTCTCGATTGAAGTTTTGTTCTTATTTTTATTTGTGGCAAATACTCGCAGGTCTATCTGGCAGTGCTCGAGCCACACACACTGTAAGCTACTCAACCATTATAGTTGTTCTTTTTATTGGTATTTCCATTTTTTTTATTTTTTTTTGTGGTTTCAGTTTAAAATGTTGGTCGTCAATCTGATCAATTGGGCTATTCTGTTTTCAATGCAGGCTAAGTTAATGGGGAAGTATGGCTTTTCATGTGGTAATTACCAAATGCGCTGTGTGTTCTATTTGCTCACATTGTTCACTGAAGTACAATGCTATATCAATTTTTCGTTATGTGACCTCTCAACCAATTCATACCAGATCCATCGAAACAACTGTTAATGGGGAAGTATGGCTTTTCATGTGGTAATTACCAAATGCGCTGTGTGTTCTATTTGCTCACATTGTTCACTGAAGTATAATGCTATATCAATTTTTCGTTATGTGACCTCTCAACCAATTCATACCAGATCCATTGGAACAATTGTATTTTTGTTCACTGTGTTTTATGGGTTCATTAATGCATCAAAAGAATGTAGCATTGGGTGATGAAGAAACTTGTAAACTCTTTTCTTTGTTTGTGTTTGATGTGTTCTCCAACTCCCCATCCACAGTGTCATTCCTGTCATAGTATATGGTAATTGAACAGTTTCCAAATGAATGACGTTCTTTTGATCCCTTCTCATTTATAGGATTATTTGCTGCGTTATTTGCTTTCACTAATTGTGGAGTACAAAGGTATCGGCAGCGGAAAGACTGGGTTAGTGAAAATTTATCTTTAGTTTTGAATTGCTTGTTCTATATGAGTTTGTCATTGACTATGAATTTCAAACTAGACTTTTTTCTGTTCTTTCTATATGCTTCTGAGTACCTGTTTCATTTAAATCATGTACAAGAGATGACATAGAACTAGTTCTAGACAGCATTTTTTTTTTTTTATGTCTATAATGAAGTTCGTGATTTTTTAGAACCTTTAAAAGACTTTGAGATCGTTTTTACAAGTTACAAAAAATGTTTTAAACTAGACCAGTTTTCTTAGAGGTTGTTTTCTTAGAGGTTCTTATAAACATGATGATTTCACTGTTAGAGACCTTGGTGCGCTGTATAAAGTTATTCATGCGTTTCTATCCCTTCTCATCAAGAACTTATATTTACCATCATATTTGTTCGTTTGTTAAGACCATAAATTAAAAGCATAAGAATAGTGAATATATCAGTCATTCCTTCACGATATCCTTGTCATCAGGAAGAAGAGGAATGGTCTAGCAGTGTTTGATCCAGTTACAATGCCTACAGAAGTTACAAATTCAGAGTTATGTGACCTGAAAATTAGTTTTAGAAAGCCATTTCTTTCACTATTTTATGTAATTTTTCTTTAGACCTGCTCAGGGAGAAATTCTCTTTATATAATGGGGTTGTTATGCTAAAAGATCGCTTACTCATGGTATTAATATTGTCACCGGTTCATTAATGTAATATTTTGAATGCTACGCCTTTATTTCTGTACAATGGACATGTATATTTACCCATGACTCTTGAGTATATTTTGATTGTCGAGAATATATTGTGTTCAAGTAGCTCGATACTAATGGTTAAACTCACAGTTTTCTTTTTCTTAAACGAAATGCCTTTAGGTGAATACCTTGGCAGCTGGTGTTGTTGCTGGTGCTGCATTTGGTGCCGGAACCCGAGATTGGAAGCAAGTTGCTGGTATTACGGGTCTTTTTTGTACATTTGTCCAATTTGCAAAGGACTCTACATCTATTTGATTCAGTCACAAAAATATCAGGGATTGACTTGTAATGTTAACCCCAAATATACTATCACAGCTAGTTTATCAGCTAATTTTATCAAACACTTTTATCATATAAGCTAGTTTTTTAGTCATAAGTCTTAAGCTATTAGTTTAATGCAAACATTCACTTGAAAGCTATAAACTAGCTTATTAGATAGGTTTATGAGATATAGGATTCAAGCTAAACTCATTAGTTATGTAGTTTGTGTTGGACGAATTTATACTACTTATAATAAAAAAAAACAGTTTTTTAAAAAATAATAAAAAATATATAAATAAAAAACAATATTTTTATATTACTTCAGTCCTATCGATTATTCATATATTACAAAAATAAAATTGAGACCGAAATAAGATAGTCGAAATTTTAAAAATGAAAACCGATATTAAACTAACATAAAACAAAACCAAAATTTGTATGTCGATTGGTTTTTTTCTATTGTAGCCAAAATTGAATTGCCTGCAAGTTTGTTTTATTTCATTTTTGCTCACCAAACAAACAAAAATAAATAGAACATGTTCTTATTAGATTTAAACTTTAGAGCAGATAAATTCATTCGAAAATGTTAGGAAAATATATATATATATATATATATATTTTAATTAAATCATATATATTTTTAAATAAAATCGAACAACTTTTGGCAATTTGACAAATGGACTGGATATAGTTACATAATGTGTTGCATAGGGGTGTTCACCATGACCAAACCGGACCTAACGATTAATCTTTTTTCTTGTCCATAATTGGACCGGTTTTACTTTTTAATCGGCCACAATCCGGACCGCATTGGACGGTCCGGTTTGGCGGTTAACCGGTTAAATCCAAAATACTTGCTTTGGGCCTTCAATTTTTATTTTTTATTTAAATTTTGGGCTTAATTTTTATTTTTCAATTCTGGCCCCAAAAGAAGTTATTTGGGCTTAAAAATTAAGAAAAACAATAATAATAAAATAAAAAATACACATTCGTCCCATAAACATAAAAATACACATTTCATCTCATAAACATAAGAATACAAAAATGATGAAGATTAAATTAAGCAAAGTAAACCCAAGCAAGGTGGGAAAAAGTGAAAAGTTATACTGTCTTACAAAATTAAGTCAACAAAAGGCCGAAAAGTGAAAGTGAATGTATTGTATATTGTCTTACAGAATGTATATATATATATTTATATTTGTTATAGTTTTTTAATATTTACAGGTCCAGTCCGGTTAAACCGGCGGTTTGCCGCAGGTAATCCGTTAACCGGACCGGTTATTTTGGATTTTTAAAAAAATTAACCACTGGATTTTTTAAAGCTTTTTTAATCGACCATTTAATTGATCCGCGGTCCAAATTGACGGTTTTTTTCGGTTAAAACCGGACCGTGAACACCCTTAGTGCTGCACGACAACATGTATTCAATTAGAGACGATAGGTAGTCCAATTATTTTTTTGATTGAGGCCCATGGTCGGCCCATTTACTTCTATCAAACAGTTTTAAAAATTTCAGAGAATCATTACACGCGCTACCGTCTCCGTAATTCGTCCTATCGTTCAAGCAGAGAACTTCAGGTCGCCGCAGCCCTCCTCGCCGTTAGATAAAAACCTAATCGTCGCCGGTGAGTTTTCCGTTCGCCAATGTCTCTCAATTTCTCTTCTTTTGGTGTTTTTCACGTTTACGAGTATAGTAGTACTTTTTACTTGCGCAGAGTTTTTCGCTTACTATCTAAAACCCTAACATTTTCAGGAGCCTCGCATCGAAATCCTTATCGGTAAATCGTATATTAGTTGAATATGAGGTGAGTCGATATGAAGTGATTTCTGTTCTGCTTTTGAAATGCCATTTTGGTTGTTCGTTGTGGCTCAAACCCTAGATTGGTACTGATTTTGTGATTTTCAGTTATGGAGCATTTTTATTTGAATGATTTACCTTATATTCTAGTTTGTGTTAGTTTAAGTTTGGCATTTTTACGTAGTAAAAGAGATTATTCTTGTTTTTGTTTTTTCGGATTATAGTTTATTTTGAATTTGCTGACATTTTGTTTTGTTGTTCTTGTATCTGCAGTCGGCCAATGGATGAGGATGTCCCTGTAAGATATCTTAGCCATGTCACCTTCTTCTTGTTTCATCTAAATTGTCTTGAGTGTGTGTATGTGTATGTATTGGCACCATTTTTAAGTATGCAGATTTGGCTATGTATCCCTAAATGTGCTTGTGGCAACATCCTAACTTGTTTTGAATAAAATGGTGTTTATTGAACATGGAATCAATGGGTTTGGACATTCTAAACATGGGGTTTTCACCTTAATACTATTTGTGTGGCACGTGTTTGCCTCTCTGTGTTGAATGTGTGCTCTTGTAGTTAAATCAGAAAACATCTTTATTTCTTTGCCTGACTTCACTTTATGAATTGCAGGGGAAGAATGAAGAAGAGGAGTTCAACACAGGACCATTGTCTGTGTTGATGATGAGTGTTAAAAATAACACACAGGTATTCAGTAATGCCATTTATGTCTGACCTTTATACAATGATTCTCCATTTTTTTCTTTCCCGCTTACCTTTTTTGTGCACTTTATTATAGTTATTTGTTTTGCCTTGTTGCATGAATGGAGCTACGGGAGGGTTTTTAAATCCTTTTAGTCATTTGCATTATATGTTTATGGATTATAGGTCCTCATCAACTGCCGCAATAATAAAAAGCTTTTGGGCCATGTGAGGGCCTTCGATCGCCACTGCAATATGGTGCTAGAAAATGTGCGGGAAATGTGGACTGAGGTTTGTCGTTTCCTATTATCTTTCCTTCTCTGCATATTTACAGTTATTATGTTATGTTTAAGGTTCTAAAGGCATTATCTTCTGATACTAATGCCTGTATCCGGTTTATTAAACCTTGGATAGGTGCCCAAGACTGGGAAAGGCAAGAAGAAATCTCTTCCGGTGAACAAGGACCGTTTTATCAGCAAGATGTTTCTTCGTGGAGATTCTGTGATCATTGTCCTCAGAAACCCCAAGTAAAAGGTATCCGACATTGACTGAATTAGTATTGATTTATCTCGGGGATGGATGTTGCATTTTAGTGTGTGTGTGTGTGTGTGTTTTTCAATAATTTCTGATAATTAGCAGTTTTAGTATTGTTTTTTCCTCAATATGGTTACGCTTGGTCATGGCTTGGCTTCTCTGCTTGGCTGAGAAGTGAGAGCTTGCAGATGGTGCTTAAAAGTCGTTAATTTTAATTAATTTATTTTTATTTTTTTTAAATAAGCTATTGTTATGTCTCGAATGTGTTTTCACTTGTGTTGGCCGTTGGCCATTTGTTGCAGGTTTGTTCTCTTGTGGGAGTTTTGATTTCGTGGCCTGCAGGATACTGATAATCTGATGGTTACGTGACCTCGCAACTATTTACGCTTGACAAACTTCGATCTTTCTGAATTAATTGGCCCACTTTTTAAGCTTTCACCCTGATTGTAGTTATGTGACTTGAAATATTCAAGGATTTATATGTACGCTTTTGTTGGAATTGGAAGCTTGGGAATTTTTTTCAGCATTCTGTCGTGGTATTTGTTTGTGATTGTTGAGGTCTCATTAATCTCCATCAACATAGAATCACAAGTGCATTATTCTTCATTATGGATTTAACTGGATTCATCTGTATCTATAAAAGTAGAGAACATTCATTATATCTTTCGAAGTAATTATATTTTGATTCGAGAAATTTCTGTTTGCACTCGTTGAATCGTAACAAAAACAATTCACGTTCAGTAAGATATTTATTGGTGTGCAACTTCCACATTGAAATATGATATCTTTATTATCTCTGTAGCTCATGAATCTTGAGAAAATCATACTAAAACCATAGATAGTAACAATGCGAAATATACTCTATGAAGTAGCTAAGTAGTAAGAAATGCATCATCCTACTGTACCCCAAAGGTCCCGCAGAGTAGATAATCCGTTGGCTTATCGCCTTTTGTTAATAAAAACCGTCTATATGCTAGTGAAACTCTTGTGGTTTTCTTCATCAGGCGGACAATGAAAAATCTTCTTTATGGTGATCACCAATGGTTTTTTGGGCAGAGTCGGAAACATGGTCACCAAAGATACGTTTGCTAAAGTCCGATACCATCATGGGTAGGCCTTTGCGTAGTGGCACTTTGGGCTCCCAACCCAATAGGTCTTTGGCCTTGGAGATGTCGGGCTTCCTCTTGTGCGGATCGTCCTCTGTGTTGGGCCGAAACTCAATTCTTGCATTTGGATCAATGGTTTCTTGAACCACCTGCGGAAACCACAATTGATTACGAAAATTTGATTAGATTTGTTGGATAATCAAAGTTATTTCCGGAAAAAGTGATTGAGTTTAGTTTGATTGGAATTTTTAGAGCTTGTATTCAAATAATATTTGAAATATAAGGATTAAAGTTGATTTGATCTAAAATTAGAAGAAAAGTGAATGGAGGTGGTGAGTAGTTAAAATTATGTGAATTAATTAATAGTTAATTCAAGTTGATGCGATGTGAATATGATTGATTGTTTGATATAATTTAATTATATTGATACTAGTGAGGATGGTTAGATTTAATTAAATTTGAGTTAGATTTAGACTTAAAAAAAAGTATTTGTTAGACCAGATAATCTGTATGCAATCAAGGCCCTCAAAGACCGTAAATTACGATGTCGTCTTTGATGGTATTTAGTGTAAAAATGGTAACATCATATATCGATGCAAACGAGCAAAAAAACAGAAAATAAAAAGGGAATAAAAGCTAGAAAACAACGTGGGAAAACCAGTGGAGGGAATCCAAATACCTGCGCAAGTTCAAGCATAGTAAATTCGCCTGGATTTCCGAGATTGAATGGTCCAATGTGCTCTCCTTCCATCAACCGCATGAGTCCTTCAACCTTCGAATTTCAGAAGCATATTATGTATTAAATGTACATGAAGTTTATAAAATTTGAATGGCCTAATGAGAGATCCCTAAAAATATTCCATGTTCAACGTTCAAATAAGGTTGTATATATTGTCGATCATCACACGATTCATATATAATCTTACATTCCCATTTTGTTGTTTGCAGTCCATCTTGTAGCAACTCGTCAAATTGGATAAACACAACGAACAATCTTTGGAGGAGAAAAGTTTTAACAAATAATACCATAAGATTTTGGAAAGGCTTACCAAGTCAGAAACATACTGAAAACTTCTCGTTTGCTTCCCATCACCATAGACAGTTAAAGGTTCCTTCCTCAAAGCCTGTGAAAAAACCAACAATTAAGTCAACAAAAAATCGCAATTCGGATTTCAGCAAATAAACGTTAAAAAAAAACGATACATCACCTGAGCAACAAAGTTGCTAACAACACGACCATCGTCAATGCACATACGCGGACCGTATGTGTTAAAGATCCGAGCAATCCTAACCTGCGAAAGCACAGTGTAATATACATGTTCGTCACTCACGTCAAACGGGAAATTATAATGAGCAATTACAACCACTCCACAGGCACAAAACATGTGATCCCACTCACTTATAAAGAAAAATGAGCAAATTATAATCAACCTATTACCAAAAAATTTATGGTAACAATCAAATAAAAACAGTTTTTTTCCTTAACCTATAGTTCAAGCCGAGAATGTTAATAAGTCTATCAACTAATGGATGGATAACAAGCTAAAAAACCAACAATGAATAGAATTTAAACATATCTTTTAAATATCGGCATAACCGTTGGACATATATACTTTTTTCAACAAATATGCATACTTACATACACAAACTACACCGTTTAAAAGTCTATCATAAACAAAAGCATGACATTTCCCAATATAATTTTCTATTTCTATTAAAAAATTATTAAAAATCGACCCGTCTAACCATTAGACTCACTCAAGTATTGCATAGTATTGCATAAATGAGGAGACGGAGAAAGTACCTCAACGTTAGCACCTCTGTGATAGTCCATGGTCAAAGTCTCAGCAGTCCTCTTCCCCTCATCGTAGCAGCTTCGGACACCTGTCACATCCCGCCACGTGTAAATACAGACAATTAATTATTTCAGGCCCAAAACCGCTGACCCAACATTAACGTTTACAAAATAAAGCACATCTTAAATGGGCCAGGGCCCAGGGGTCACCTTAAATGACCCATCTTAACTTCAGGCAGCCCACGTTTATAAATTTAAAACGTAGGGTTCACTTTGGCACTGTAAAAAGTACAAAATTATTATTTAAATACACCCCACCTCACTCACACGATCCATCACAAAAAAAGCCGTGTACTTTGCCAATGATTATTCGAAAAGGAATCAAAAAACAAAATAGTTTTGTAAAATAAAAAAAGGAGGTAATGCTCTCGTGCCACGGTGGGCACATGTTAATATACTCACCGTTTATGTGGCATTCACACATTGGTGATGTTAATATGTTTAAAAAAATACATCACCAATGTGTGCATGTCACATAAACGGGGGCATATTGACATGTGCCCACCGTACTTATGTGACATATTAACATGTGCCGTGCCCACCGTGATAGGGGAGCATACTCATAAAAGAAGAGGAAAGAAAAAAAAAATGTTATAAAGAGATGGGACCACTTGTTGGAGTCCAACGGACAAGCCCTCAAAAGTCTAGGCAATATTAATTAATTAATAATTCATTCATGGAAAAATGGTTACAAAGTATTCCATTTTCAACATATTGATTATATATTTTTAAATTACAATGTCACGTATAAGGAAAATAAAAATCAACATGTATATACATACTTCCTAAAATTAAAATATCATTTTATGATAAGTGAAAGTATTATACTTCATAAAAAAGAGCGGTTAGATAATCTTAAATTTGCAACTAATTAATATGCACACAAATTAAATTTGTATAAATAATTAACTTGGATCCGAAGTTATATGCACACAAATTAAATTTGTATAGATAATTAACCTGGATCTGAAATTGAAAACCCATCGATATTGGGTCTCAAGTAGAGGTGTAAACGAGTCGAAGTCGAGCTCGTTTATCAATATTAATGAGCAAAACTCGAGACTGAACTAGCTAAAATCGATCAAAAACTATGGAAAAACACATAAAAATAAATTTTTCTAGCCTTAACAAGTCGAACCTAGCTCGACTCGTTAACTAAACGAACTTTATGAGCTAGAGTTCGACTAAGCCGAACTCGATCCTTAACTAGCCGAGTCTCGATCCTTAACTAGCCGAGTCGAATGGAAGTCACCCACTTGTATAATTTAACAACTTTAAGTCTTAAGAAAAGCAACCGAAGCCAAAACCCACAAACTAACACACACGTGGCACGGGCGATGTGACAATACATGGACCGCTCCAAAAAAACATGACACCATACCAAACCAAAAACTTCAGAATTTAGAAACTTAATTATAATACACAGCTCACTTTAGCCACACCAAAATGTCCACGCTAAACTGCGCCGCC